CCAGGTGATTAGTTTCAGTTTTCCCTAATCAACATGCAGTGTCTACAACAATCAAGACTATCCTCCACCGATAGCCCAAAACAGTTATTTCTAAACAGATGATAAATGCATTAAACAGAAAAAATAATAGCACTTTCATAGGTGAGTGATTAATTTATCCAACTGCACCAATCAACCTCATAATTTCCCAATTTCACAATTTCCAACTCAATTTCATATTTCCCCAAATTAATTATACAAATTAATTTATCACAATAATTAGGGCATTTTCCCCCTATTTCAATTATTAACCCTAAGGTTCAATTTCATCCATTTAACATCAATAATTCCATTTTTCTAAGGTCTCACATACACATGGAGTTTAACATTTGAAAACCCCATTTTCATAACCTCAAATCAAACCCTAACTTTCCCAAAAATTATCAAATGATACCATCTAATCAAAATGGCTAAAATTTATGTCAAAACTCATAAGATAGAGTAGGGTATCCCTACCTCAACACTAGAAGCCTAAAGGAGTTGATGAAGAAAACCCAAAGTGTTCCAAATCCACGGTTTTTCAGTTTAAAGTGAAGCCCACGCCACCCTCTATCTTTCTTACAAAGAGATTTGAGTGGAAACACTCTAGAAGTAGATGAAATCCTAGAGAGAGAGTGTGTGTGTAGAGAGAGAAGCAGCCGAATCTAGGGTTTGGGAAGAAAAAGAGTTCAAAAAGTAAGAGAGAAGACCGCTGCTGCGAACTGATATAATCGAAGCTCACTCGAGCGAAGGAGTGGTCGCTCGAGCGACCAGACACAAAGAAACCTCGCTTGAGCCCACAAAGCCTCGCTCGAGCCAACAATTTAAAGCTTCAGGTTTGCAACCCAGAAGCACGCTCGAGCGAAGGAATGCTCGCTTGAGCGAAGAAACCCAAAACATATAGCTCGCTCGCTCGAGCGAAGGAAAGCTCGCTCGAGCAAAGAAACACAACATTCAGGTCAAAAAAAGACGCAGACGCACGCTCGAGCGCAAGACTTCTCGCTCGAGCCACCAAACACAAAACTCAACTCTCGCTCGAGCGAAGGAACCCTGGCTGGAGTGAAAGAACTAAAACAAAGAGCTCGCTTGAGCGAAGACACAAAAATCTAGGCAGCCACTATTGGTTTAAACTCACTACCAACCTGTAACACACCTACCCAATACATCCTAAAACTCATATACAAAGAATTAAAGGACGGAAACAAGATATAAACAATAACCAACACCACGAAACCTAAGTCCGGCATACTATAACCAATGGAGGGAAAACTGGGATCGCTATAACGGATAATGACAGTCCCAATTATCTCCTTCTAATTTAAAAATATACACTTAACTTTCTTGTAATTTGGAGTAAAGTGTAAAAGTAACAGATTCTGTCCAAATTAACTGTGTAGGTTACATGCACTAAATTGGGGAGGGGGGAATTATTCAATATTCTCGTAATACCACGTGTTTGTACTCCCTAACCAATCATCATTCAATATGCCCTTCATATTCCCCAATCACCCAACATAATACCCCACCTACCCATATTCTCTACCTGAATTGGGTGCGTGAGACAAGCATTGGCCCCAGTAGATTGATAAAATGACAATTCTACCCTTTTCTTTTCTTTTGTGTTTTTTTGTTTTTCCATTTCTTCTTCATCCCTTTTCATCTATATTGCAACATTGTTGACGCACCCACTCTACCCTTCTATTATTTTTCTTCTTGCCATTACCCACTATCTTCTCTCACTATTTTTTTCTTTCTTTCTTTCTCTTTTACCATGGATATATAGATATATGTGTTTATATATTTATGGGTTGTGTGGAGTCTTTTGCTTAGTTTGGTTGGGATAGCCATGGTTATTCTTGCAAATAAAAAAATAAAAAATAAAAAGTAACGAACAGAACTTGTTGGTAATGTAATTGAAGGAAGAATTGATGGGTAATTTCAATTATACATATATGATATATATACGTACACATATGTATTAACTAATATATATATATATATATTGAGAGGGAATAAAATTAACTACAGGAATTATGTGGGTCCTTGTAACGCCCTCAAAATAATAACATAAAATCCCATCAATTAGACATGCATTGATATAAAAGATAAATATTCTTCTATTCATCAGAGTAGTTCATTACAATGAGTATTACATGTTAACAACAAAAGCAAATGCCCTACGGGCCTACAGCTTTCCAAGTTAACACTTGGTTACAAAAAAAGAGAGTACTAACTCAAATACACATTAAGCCCTTGGCTTGAATTTACATATAATACATCCAAAAGATAACAAAACGACAAAAGTCTGACTGCCTCTAGCCTCCCAAGCTATGTTATTGGAGGTGGCATGCTACCTGTACCTAAAAAAGATGTCCCATAAAGGGTGAGCCACAGCCTAGTAGAAATACACTAAACCAGCTATGAACAATGACTAAAAGATTAGCAGTTGATAGATGGTCAATTCAGATACATCCACATATATCACATTCCGGTTTCATGATATTAAGTCCATGTTACATTTCATTTCCCATCTCTTTTTCAACTTTGTGTTTGAAAATAAGGGTCAACACCTAGCCCAAATAACTTAATGAGATTAAGACTCATCTTTAAAACACTTTCGAAATTCATGATGGATACACATTTTAATGCTGTATTGATAACACATAACTCATTTCCATACTTTACGAAAGATACACATTTCGGTGCTGTACCAACATAATATAGAATCACTTCTATACTTCACAATTGATAACGATATACATTTTAGTGCTATATCAAATCAATTCGAACACTTCCATAATCAACACTTGATACACATTGTAGTGTTGTATCAATGTCACACAAAATCCTGTTTAGAGGTCCATCCCCTATCTTCCCCTAAACTGTGGAGTACATCCCCTA